GGGGAGGGGGAGGGGAAGGGAGGCCTGGAAAGAATTGGGATGTGTCGTGTACATGTAGCAACTGCCCACAATGAACATAATGCGTCTATATATTAGAGAGTAGGGGTAGGGAGAGGAAGGGAATGGGATTAAAAAGAATTTATACATGTTCAGTATATGTACCTAGGTCCTAAGGTGCTGGTAAACATTATACACTGCAACCATGTACTAATGAAATAAAAAATGAAAAAGTCAAAATATTAGCACTGGCATTTGGAAATATTAGTATGAATATTTTACCCTGAGATATAGGTTTCTATAAGACTGTTGTAAACATTGTTCAGGTTGTTTATGATAACAGCAATTCTTTGGAAACATCTTTTCAAAGGAAAGAACTTCTTGGACATTTGAAATAAACTTGGATAGAGCCTGTGCTTAGTTTCTACTGAATGGTTGAACCAAGGATACCTAAGACTAAGCAGTCATTTGTCTATTCAATTTCGGGAGCCTTGTATTCTGCTGTCAAATTCTTAGCTATGCGTTCACGTGGTCGCTAGTCTTTGAAAAATCTGCAATAAAGCACTTTTTCCTGCATCAGTTTCTGACACAGTCGCTCCTATTTTTTGTCCTTCACATTTTGCTGCAGAATGTCTGGAAATAGAAAATGTCACGAGAATGATATGTTCATAGTTTTGCATTTCCTTTATTTTATTTTTTGCAGGGTATGATTTGAACCTAGTAACTGGGACAGACCACTGAGCTAAATTCACAGTCTTTTCGTTCTTATTTGGAAGAAGGAAACAGTATTTTAAAAGCTTCTGGCTTCATAAAATCAGAGTTGTGCTATACTCGGAGAGAGTAATGACAATTTTAAAAGTTTCCTTCTCTCTTAGAAGAAGATGCAAACTTTTTGTGATCTAACGCTGCTCACTTATTCTTCCAGGGTTATCAGTTGTCTTTCTCTTCCTTTCAGTAGTTACTGGTTTTAAGATCCTTGAATTTTCTAAGTAACTTGCGTTTTGCATGTAAAAGAGCCTCAGTTCTCTCCTTTTTTGTTTACATCTTACATCTTTTTTATTTTATGAAGCACGTGACCTGCTTATTATTTGGCTTAATTCATCATTGTAAAACTGTATTTTCCTTCTCCTAGGAAAGAAAGAAAGAAAGAAAGAAAGAAAGAAAGAAAGAAAGACAGAAAGAAAAAAAAAAAAAAGAAAAAGAAAGAAAGCCCTGGGAAGGTAGACCCATGTGAAGAGAAAAAAGAAGCCCAAGGCGGCTGCACTGTCTGGGGCTGGGGGCCGGGGAGATGTGAGACAGGAAGTTGCGAGGCAGCGGGACTGCAGCGCATGCGCAGTTCAAGGTTTACGTGCAGGTACCAAGGGCTGTTTTGGCACGCAGCCACTAGTGTGTGCTTCTCTATATATCTAGACTGTCCAAGAGCAAGCTGTTGGACGGACAGGCCGCAGCTGGGCCGCTGAAGACTGTGGCTGAAAGGCTTTTCTTTGGGCCTCCAGAGACTTAAGAGAAACTCCCCTGCTTGAATTGGTGACAGGACAATAGTATTTTTGTCATTTTCTCCTATTCTACTAAAAAATATTTGCATCCTGCATGAGTTAGTCTTAGTGGGCCCTGGATGCCGCTAGTCAAATCTCAAGTATTCTTCTGCTGCTGTCATGTAAAAACTTTTGGTCTCATCATTTTCAAAACGAAATCTTCCAATTTGTGATAAATCTTATTTCTCTTCATTTCTCAGTGTTTTATGATTTTTCTGTAAAGGTTATATGCATCTTTCGTTGTACTTTTTTGAATATTAATGTCATTCTAAGTACATTAGATGGCATTTAATTTTTCATCTTCTGTTTGCTGCTTATGTACAGAAATACAGTTAATTTACAAAAATAAAAAAATAAAAATGATTGGTCTAAAAAAAAATGATTGGTCTCTTTCTTGTGGTTGTCCCCCTCCTGCCCTCAGTCACTATTTAATCTCGGAGGACTTTGTTTGCTACTTCCAAATGCAGCGGAAACCAGTGGCTTTGGATTCTCTTTAGCATTAGATACACACACCCATTTTTCTTTCTTTCCTTCCTTCCTTTTATGAAGTTTTAAGGAATCCGGTTGCTATCAAATCCAAGTACTTCTAAGAAGTGTTCTGATTGCTTTTCTCTATGACCTCAGGTTCCAGATTGTGTGTTCGATATTGGTTCATTCTATGTACATCCTCTACACAGTCTGCTCACTTTTATCCCCTTTGCAGGAGTCCTCCCTTCAGTGTATAATTTCCTCTTGTACTATTCTTAACTTCCTATTTGCTGCCTGGCCAATCTTCTTGGAAGAAATACGTCCATATGCTATATTACATTTCTTGCTAATTATTGTTACGTTTTTAGCAAATTCTATTTATGCTGTACCCTTTAAAAACCATGTTTGTTACAACTTAGATTGGCCTCTGTATTCCCAGACTATCACTTTTTTTTTCAGTTTTCTAGCTGCACATACTAACATATTTCTCCATCAGATATATTAATTGCTTGAACTAGCAAGATAATATAATTAGATTACAATTTCCTTGACTTTATTATCTTGACAAACATTTGGCATTGGAAGGCTTCCTTATTACCTAATCTTTTATGGTTCTTCTTTTGAATTTTCTTTTTCCCCTATAACAGTATCCATTCCTAGACTTTTTTTCTTCCTGTATCTCTGGGTCCTCCTTTAGTCTACCTACTTTGTAAATCATTTCTCTACTTTCTGACATCTGAATGTTGTAATATTTCCTGGGTCAGCTTTAAGTTCTCTTCTCTTTTCATTCTTCTTTTCCAATTTGATGTCTTCATTTGATAGTAATAATCTCCAGTTTGCATCTCCAGGCTAGATTTATATTCAACACTGTATAATTCATCTCTGTCCTTTATCTTTACTTTTCCATGTCTATTTTTGATGGTCTGTGGGCTCCTCAAGTCATAAGCTGTAAGTCTTTCCAAAGTTCACCTCTCCTGTCAGCACCAACTTTCAAAATGCCTGTCAACCATCTATGTTTATGAAAACCAATGGCTGAATCCCTTGACTTCCCACTCGCTCTTCCACCTAACAGTACCACTCTGCCTACGCAAGCTATCACCAATCTGTGTTCCAGGTCAGTCCTCAGTCTTCCCTTTATTTTTTAATTTAATTTTATTTTTAAAATTCATTTTTATGAAAAAAAGATAAAATAGCAATAAAACAGTTTTAAACTAGGTTAGTAGGACAGTTAAAATAATTAATACATTGCATATTGTTGTCTTCATTGTAGTTAATCATAGTGCAAGATGCAGGCATGATGTCTTGTCTAAACACAATTAATACAAATCTTTCTTCTTATTGAACTAAGAGAAAGTAGCTGTATATTTATCCTACTTTATATATACAAATATATGTATGTATATATATCACAACAAAAGAGTATCTTATTTATACTTTTGCAAAGTTAGTAGCATGTGACCCAGGCTTTCCTAGTGTGACTCTAAGCAGACAGGAGGTCTAGTTCAGGACTGAGGTAGCTTGTTTGCTTTAGGCACTGAGGTCTAGTCCTGCCTACACATGTTTGATTGATGTCCTAGCTTCCATGGCTCCTAGTATATCCACCTTTTTTGTTTTATTTTGTCAGAGATGTGTGCATCAAGTATAAAGAGGTCCTTAAAAACTTCTCCAAATACAGCCTCTCTAACTGCGATGGAAAACTTTACTTTAATCCCTATCCTTCTTGAATGTACACAAACTTATTGTGCTGTCTTTTGTGCATAAAATCACAGCATCCAGAAGAAAATCCCCAAAGCTTTGAAATCTATCAAATTAAGTAATTTCTTTCCTTGAAATGTTCAAAGCTTTCCATTAAAGTGTTAAGGATGTATTAAAGCGTAAAGATGTTGAGATGCTCTGAACTAACCTGAATAATCTTTCTGATTATTACTGACTTTTAACCAGCCACCATTCACAACATTCTTCCACATCTTGCCTAGAATTTACTCAGTCTTACTTTTCTCCAGTATTATTTTCAAAGATTGCCCTCCCTAATGGACCCTACATATGTTCATTTTCCCCCATATTCAAGCCCTCATCTAATTCTCTCATATTTGTCAATTAGTTGTCTAATTGATACTATACTTTATATAAATTGTCAAAGTTAAACGAATACATTTATTCGTAGGAACTGTATAAATTAATTCAAGGTGAAAAATGTAAAGCAGAGTCTTAGGGACAAAATAGTTTGGGAAGTTGTAACATACTAAAATTTGAGTAATACATACTGCATTGGAAATAATTTAACAGCTTGCATTCAAGGTAACAAAAACAATTAGGCTCTAATCAACAGATTATTATCTCTGATTTACAAAGCACCATCTCCTTTTTATGTGAACTCAAAAGGAACATTTTGATTTTTATTGTTGTTGAAAAACATCTTTAGAAAATTGGATTTTCTAATAATTGGAAGTCAGGTGGATTTATTTTTATCCTCAGGAAAACATCCTCCCCCAAGACCAGTACCTACCATAACATGTGGGTGTGTCAGACCATCCGTCGTAAGAACACGTTATGGAACCCTTGGCACGTCTGAGTTTGTTTTCATATCCAACGTGGCATTCATAGTACAACTTGTCATTGAGTGTAAACCAAGTACGATTATTTTTGGTTCCAGCATTCTCAAATACAGGCAATTCACAAGATTCTAATGCATATAAAATTCAGGATTTCATTTGTAATGTAATTTAGTGAACAGTCTAAGTAATTTCCACCACAAACACAAAAGGCTGTTTAATTTTGTGTGCTAATAAATTAAGAACAATATAAAATAATCTAAGACTAATGGCAAAACATTACTAAAAATGAGAATTATGTTCCTACATAACATTTTTTTCATGAAATGAATTTATCTGAAAAATTTATTTTAAAACGTTTTTCTGAATTTAATTATACTTTTGAGTTTATCTGGTAATAAAACATGCTGGTAATAAAACAGGCCATTACAGATATATTTTACTCTTTCTTTTTTAATTTTTAGGAAACCAGAGTAGTATTCTGTGAATTAAAATACTCTTCTCAATAGTTACAGTAAAATATTTTGAAAAGACTAATTGAATAAAATATTGATACATTTATTATATAAGACATTATCTGTTTCATAATAAAACATGACAAATAGATTATCACAATTTAGTGTGCATAAGTTTTATATGGGTGTGACTTTTATCAATTTCTTTAGCATATGAGAAACAGGAGAAATTTTATAAGAAAAGAAATTAAGATAGTAGGACTACTCATTTAAAGTAATTCAAATATTACTTCACATTATCATTAAACGGTTTTATGATAAATGTGATAACTACACCAATCAGTTTTAGAAAAATCTTCATTAATGCTTAGATGATGTGGCAGGGAAATTTTTCAACAACAAAAGTGGGTAACTCCTAGAAATACCTCTTCTTTTTTTAATATCTATGTTTTTATGAAGATTAAGAGGTAAAGAGTTCAGAAGTGTACTCATCATGAAGTTCTAAATGTAAATGATAAATTATAATGGATAAGTTATTCTTAAACTACATACAATAAACCCACATCGCTACCAAAAATCTTACTTTTAATGTTTGAAAGGCTAGTCGTCCAAAACACAGTAGACATAAAGTAACAAAGGTCTCAGTTAAAAAAAAAAAAAAAGAGGTCATCATAGAATAAGCATAAAGCTCCCTAATTAGTTCCTAAATTATATAATGCTTTCCCCCCTGCATTTTGGACAGGGTCTGCAGGGTCTACAGGGTCTCACTAGCAGATTGGACTCAGAGTGATCCTCCTGTTTTCAGTCTCCCAAGCGCTGGGATTATAGGCTCGCGCCACCATGCCCAGTCTCAGTCGTTGTCTCAGCCCACCCCCGGGTCGGAGCCGTTAACGCACCTAGGGATCAAATCCCAGCCCTTTGAGCTCTGCATAAGCAGCGCTTTCATCTGCTGAGCTCCGTAGACTAAGCCTCTGCCTGGCGAGCACAGGGTCCTGAGTTCAATTCCCGATACCACAAAACCAAAAAGTGCTTATTTTAATATAATAAATTACTTACTAATGCAGATGGGTTGATCTGACCATCCATTTTCCAGACATGTAATTTCTCCTGATGGCTCTCCAGCTGGTGTTAGGTATCCCGGTTTACACTTAAATTGTGTTTTTTTATTTAAAACATATACATAATCAGATTCAGCGAGAAACCCATTTTCAATTTCTATGTCAAATTTTGTACATGTTTCTAAAACAGAAAAGAGTAAAGAAAAGATAAACATACGCTCAGAACCATTTTTGCAAGAACCCCAACAATATGACAGTAAAACCCCCCAATCATTTGTGTGAGTGAAGTCGTGGGTGAAAGCCTGGAGTCATCATTATTGAGGTCACTGAGCATAACAAAGCAAGCGATCGCTTTCGAAAGTTATCACATCAAGATCCTTTGTGAGATGTTTGGGGGAAAACACAAGGTTTAAAGCATGCATAATTCTTTTGAAGAAATTAATAGAAACCTGTTTGTCTAATTTTCATGAATCCTTCAGAACCTTATACATAGAACTCCTCAAGAATCATGGTTTTTAAAATTTTTTATTTTTTTATTTATTTTTGTGGGAGTTGCTTTAAATCTGGAAATAGTTTGTCTCTCTTTGGCATCCAGAAATCATTTCACCATTGGTCTCCTTTGATTATATGTCGATCTTCACACCTTGTTAACAGAGTTGTTACAGACTTTGGCCTGAGAATTTCAAATGTAATTATAATTGTGTTCTTGAAATATAATGCGTGCATAGAGCTCAAAGACGATAAGAAGGAGCAATGCGTTTATTCATCTTCCCAAGCCAAAATGATGATTCCTTGAACTATGAAAAACTTCACTTGAACCTACAAAATTAGACCTCTGTCAGCTACTAGGTCTCTTCCTAAAAAGTTTAACTTATACATGAATAAGAAGGAAATATGAAGAGATAACATTAAATATTTTAATTGTCTGCTAAAGAAAACACATTTAAATAATTGTAAGGTGACACTAAAACAGTACTGAGAGGGATAATTATCATTAAATAGCCACAAATGAAATGAACAGAAAATAAAAATCAAAAATTGTCTTACTTCAAGAAACTAGAAAAAACAAAGCTTAATGTAAGTGTACATTTTGAAAACAAAAAATATGAACAGAGATCAAAATGAAAACCAATAAAATGAAAATGACAAAGTTAAAAGTGAGTGTATAAAGAAATGTAACAATACTGATAAATACCAGGGAAGAACAATCAAGCAAACCAATGTTTCAGTCACAAATAATGTGGCAACTGAACTAAACAGTTGAAACTAAACCATACATGACTATAATTTCATTGAAAAAGAGACAAGTGATGTGAGCTCTCTTATGAAAGTGACTTTTTGCTTGGAGGAATTGTCCAGAAAACAGCAGAGAATCCAAACAGAAAATAGATGTTGTACTTACTTGAAAAAACAAGAGTGTGCTCAGAGAGGTGGAGATTACCAGTGTGCGGGATATGAAACCAGGGAGGAAGACACAGCGTGAGAGAGTTAAAGTAAGCACGAAGGTCCCCTCGATTCTTTGCCTGAGTGTGCACATACTGTGCTGCAGGACAAACTACGTGAGAACAGGCCAAGAAGAGCTATGAGAGAAAATATAAGTAGCAGCCAACAATAACTTTCAACATTCTCAGACCACCTAGGACCTTGGGAATCATTCAAACTTGGTCAGTCAGGATTGAAAGATGCTTGACCACCAAGATCATTTAATAAATATCCAGAATAGGCTTTATTAATATGAATTAACTAGTCCAAACCACTTTTAATATATATTTTTAAAATTTTATGTATGTGGTACAAGGTCTCACTATGTAGATTGAGCTTGAGCTCATGATTCTCTTGTTTCAGCCTCCCCAGTGCTGGGATTACAGACCTGTACCACCATGCCCAGTCTTGGTGGCCAATGGGGTGTACCAGGGGTGGAGCAGGCATAGCATGTGGTGCTGGGGATCAAACCCAGGTCCTTGCGTTTGCCTATGCTGGCACTTAGACCTCTGCGTTATCTCTGTGGCCCCTAATAATTTTTTTTTAAACCAAAATGATCAAACAAACTTAGTCTTCCAAAACAAAATTTGAAACTACTAATCCTTCAGGTATCCAAACCCAAACACCAAGAGCTCCAACAAAATCTTTTTCCTTTACTAAAAATTGAGGGAAAAGGTGAAAGGAGAGCAGCTGGCAATATCGAAGGAAGGAAATGTTTTGATAATGCTCAACCAGAATATCAGTGGCTAAACTACATATCAAAATTGGTAAAATAACACTGAAACAAAATGGAAGAAATTGGTTGATTTAAATATATGTATAAAAAGGAATAGTGGGGGTGGAGCTGTGAAGATAGTTTGGTGGTCCAAGTGTCTGCCTGGTGAGTGCAAGGACCTGGGTTCAATCCCCAGCACTGCATGCCCTGCCAGCTGCAGAACCCCCCAAAACCTGGCGTGTTGGAGCATGATCAATGTAGATGATGTGGAATATTATATCTTACAACTGAAACAAACTTCTACACTACTTGAGGACTGCAGCCTTAGATTCCTGGTTGTTTATCATCTAACCAAAGAATCTACTTTTTTGCAGGTACTGTGGGCTAAAACCCTAGCCAGCAACATTGAACATTGAACTCCTGTCTGACCCTTCATTCTTCTCTCAGTCATCTCTTTCTTTCCTCTTGTATCTTTCCACACACTATTTTGAGCCCACTCACATGACTGGAATATACTTCCAAGACCAAGAGCATGATAAGCCCCCTTTGTTGTCCAAGTAACAAACTCATAGACTTCAAGGAATAGAAAACAAATATCTTTGCAGAAGCCATTCTTCTATCTACAGTGATTAAAAACCAAGATAGATGACTCAAGTTATAATGAAGAAGAGACACTATATTAAAACAATGAAAAAATATGCACAAAAGGAAAAGAATAAAAAAATCTAAATTATACGCAATATAACCACTTCTTAAAATAAATGTTCTAAGTTTCTCAATGAATAAACAAATACCATTTGTGAAAATTGCACTACAACTGGAAATCTATACAAAAATAAATTTCATTCCATACATAAAATAACTGGAAATCAGTCACAGAAATAAATAAAAAAGTAAATATGCAAACTTTATAGACAAAGTTTAATGGCAAATTGGACTAGCAAAGCATAAGCTGGAAAAATGGATTAATTTGAAATTTCACCAAAAGGTAAAGAAATGTGTTCTTGAAAATAAATTATTAAGAACTCAGAAGGTACGTTGAATATTCAAGAAAATATGCAAAAAGGTTTCTAAAAACCTAACTGCCTTTCATATATTTAAAGGGCTATTACAATGTAAGAGAAACTACATAATTAAGTCTGAAAAATATAAAAATTACACAGAAGATAAAACTGAAAAGTAAATAAAAGTGTGCTCGCCATCAGAAACATAATACTACACATAATGCCATACCAGTTTGCATATGCTAATGTGATTAAGATGTAGAAACTGCCCGGTCCACTTGTTAATGAGTATGTGAGCCCACTAGAATCCGTAGACACTGCTAGTGGAAATGGAAAATAGTTCAATAATCCTCAAAATCAATATGGCAGATTCTTATGGGCTTAATCATGAATAGAATCGTATGACTCACCATTTCATGTTCAGATTTTTTTCCAAGAAATGGTAATGCATTTCACCCCAATACTAGTGTTTCAATGTTCATAAATAGCTGAATCCTAACTTCAAAAATGTGAAAATAATGCAAATGTTCATCAATAGTGGAATAGATAACAAGACCTTTGTATATTCATATAATCATACTCCACAAGGACAGTTAATCATGGACCAAATAACATAGAAGAATGCCACAGATTTTCCTGAAAAAAAGGCAAATATAAATTTAATTGATAATGATAAAGAAAACACTGACTGCCTGTAGGGGTGGGGCTGAGGGATGGCTTAGTGGAAAGTGAACAAGAGAACTGTGCAAAGCTTCTCTTGCTTGATTGGATTTGGGGTTAGAAGAGCACCCTCACTTGGTAATGTCTTCTGTCTGCACACTAAACGTGTGAATTTTACTTTATGTAATTCATACTCAAGTAATGTCATTTTGTGAAAAATGACCTTTAGGAAATTAAAAAAACAGCTATAGAAACAGTAGTAAATTTTACTGAGTTATCCAAAAAAAGCATCAATCTGCTTGCATAGAATATAAAAAGTGAAAGAGAAAAAAATCAGAGAAAAGTTTCAAAGCAGTCAAAGCAAACAAAAGAAACTCTAGATAGAGAATTAAGCAGACAGACATAGTACTGAGTAAATTCAGATGAACAAGGCTCATTATAATTTTTAAACAGGTTGATAGTAATGTCACAAAACAGAATACACAGAATAACAGAATTAAATATATATGCCTCGGATAACACACATACACACTTATTTACGACATGTGAAAAATATACAATATCAGGTTACTGGAGAAATGTTCATATCCCAAATATTTTATTAAGGAAATGGAACTGTGCATAACCATCACAAAATGGCTTAAAATATGATAGGAAAAACAAAGTATGCTATAACTTTTAGAATAAAAATATATAACATCTATTTTTTGCAGAAGACAAACATTATTTAAAAAACAAAAAAAGATTAAACTATTGCTAGCATTACAGAAAGTGGGACGATTTGTGTTTAAATAAATATTAAAGAAAAGTTACAGGCCAAAAATGAAGATTACATTTACAATACATGCAATTAAAAGTGAATTAACATTAAAATTACTAAGATTACAATGAAAATTAGAATCCCCAAAAGTTAAATTAAGAAAAATATGAAACTTCATTTTAGATTGGATAAGTCATTTAACCTATGACAGCGCACATTAAACTCACACAATAGGGAAATAAACACACACCAATACTGCAATAATATCATGTAGCCATTTATTTTGTAAATATTCAAATGTGATATCACTCAATAATCATCAAGGTTGTAGAGCAAGAAAGGGCCGTTGCCGTTCATGTACTGTGTATTGGTACAACCACTATAGAAAACCCTCTTAACGTTTTATGTCCCAGAAATTCCTTTTTTTTTTTAAAGAACATTTCAGTGAAAATTCAGTGATGGATATGTATAATTTGGGGGCTATATTGTTACAAGGGATTGTCATAGAAACGTAAAGCTGATTAGATGTTCAGATAATTGTTACATATTCTTATCTGATTTGTCTTCTTCCTTCAGTGATTCCTTAGCATATTTCTCTGCTTCTTCCCCTACATCTTTTGGAACAATTCCATGCCTTACTTTAGTTAATTCACCAACCCTGCTGAGCTCAAGTTCAAAAGTTTAATCCTTAACTTCATCCTGTACTATGTAAATTATTTTTGCAACTTCTTTAACAATATCACGGCAGGTCATTTCTTTCATCTGAAGCTTTGGTATTTCTGTCTTTGCATCTTGCCGGGCTTTGCCAATAGCACAGCCCCAATAACCATATGAAACACCTGAAGAATCAATCACGTAGCATTGTGCACCATCATTCACACTGTAAGACCCCGAGCATGAAACTGCAGCCGAAGGGCCTGACGGCGCTGTAGAGGTGTAAGCATGTACGTACACGGCCACTCGGTCTGCAAGATCTTTCAGTGGAAAGTTATAGCCATCGTAGATCTAAAGCTGGAAGCTCCTCCTCTTGTTATGTCTGCTAAAGACCCAGCATCTGCCAGCAAACCTGCTGCTGCCATGCCAGCATGCCGATCAATGCTAAAAAGTCGTATGCTGGAACCTTCTTCGTAAAGTTTAGAAAGAACTAATTTTTCTACCCCAAAGACAACACTGTCTTTACATCTGATCCTAATAGCTGTACTGCTATTATCCACAGCCTTCATCGCATATTCAACTTGAAAAACCCTTCCATCAGGAGAGATTGTAGAGGCTGATAGATCACACCCGGTTCCGATCGAGCTCCTCTTGTCCAAACCACCGGAGCGTGTTGGGAGTCCAGGCCCCAGAAATTCCATTCTTAGTTACATATCCCAGAGAAATTCAAAGACCAATAGCACTAATATAAAAAGTCACATCACGTCTCAATTTAATATGCACAGTTTTATCTGTCACTCTTTATTTCCTATAGTAAGCTATCATTTCATTGCCATTTAATGGTTTAATGATTAAATGATTTCATAATACACCTTAATATGATTTCATTTAAAAAAGAAATACTTCAGTCAATTCTTAGTTTTCTTCATCAGTTTACTGAGTGATGCACTTATTTTGCTACATTTTTGTCATGAAATTGTATATCCATTTATGTATACTTCAAAAAATAAGGCAAGTTAAGCTTTTTACCAGTTAATGCAGAGAAGCTTAGAAAATTATGAGCGCTGCAAGATCATGCTTACTTACTGATAAGGTTGCACTTGGGAGGAGGGGACCAGCCTTCCTCTGTGCATGTAATTTTTTTCTGCCCATTTGGAAGACTATAGCCACGATTACACTTAATCTCTACAGACTGATTTTGTAAATATGTTTTTCCGAAATATAGATTCTGTCCATTTTCAACGTATTTGTGATAGCATGCTCCTAAGGACCACAAAAATAGAAACAACAAGCATTAATTTGATGAAGATTCTAAAATAAAACACAACTTTACAATACTTAAACAGAAGCACCCCAAGAAGATGTGCACTGAAGAATAACCTCAAGTACTGCCCAAACACTTCTTTAAAAAAATGAAAGCAATAGTCAGTGTTTTTCATCTTTAGTTTTATAATTAAAACTAAATAACTATTCTTGTAAAGTTTCCATCTTTAGTTTTTCTCTGATTTCCATAAAGAGCTTTGCGTGAAAGACAGAAATTTTTGTTCACACATCTCTTGGCTCCATTGTTGTCACCCAAGTCTTACCTGAAGTCAGTTGTGTGCCCTTTTCTCTCTGTATATTTATATATGTATACGTTCTTCATTATGCATTGGTATGTATATAATTACAAAGACATTTACTTACTGAGGCATGGTACTTTGGGTTCCCACCCTTCTGTTGTGCAGCGGATGTGAGCCCAGTATGAAAGGGAAGGAGTAAAAAAATTCTCATAACAATAATAATGATATTCTTTTCCTACAGGTACAGGAAAGTATGGTCTGTATCTATCTTCCTCATATAATCTTCCATGCTTTATTTCAGGAAAGTCACAAGGTTTCACTTGTAATTAAAAACAAACAAATGAAAATTTTACTTTAATGAACAACTGTACCAGAAATTATTCATTTTATAAATAGAGTATAATTACTCGATTGTACCAGAAATTGTTCATTTTATCAACGAGTTATGTTCTGTTATTAATGATTAAATGATTTCAAAATACACATTAATATGATTTCATTTTAAAAAAGACAAATACTTTAGTCAATTCTTTGTTTTCTTGATTAGTTTACTGAGGGGTGAATTACATACAGAGATTGAAGATTTCCAGCACAACAAGTTATACAGCTCAGATCATTGAGTTATATAAGTAGATTTTTGATAATGAAGTTGAACTTACATGTTGTGGGTCACCAGAGAAATAGACTAAGATATTTGCTACTGTCCAAATAGATATGATTGTGATAAACATAGCTTACTAATTTTGATGGCAAAATGAGATTTTTATGATGTTATAAAATACTTAAAATTAGATATACTATTATATTTTAATGAATACTTATCTATTACATAATTTTAACAATATGTCAATACAATGCTATTTGTTATATGAAAAGCTCATATATAATATTTTTCTGAAACTTTGCCCTTTTCATAAGATTATTTACAGATAATCTAGTATTTATTATCATTGTAGTATTTTTTTATGTGATATAATTCTATTTCAAGAAATTTTTGTGCAACATGTTAAAAATAATTTTCACACCAGCATACATGCAAAGATGTACAACAAAGTCTGAATTTTCCTTATTTTATTTATATTATTTTACTTGATACAGATATTTCAAGAAATTTCTACATATGTTATGAGTGTTATACACCTTGAATTTTTGTTTATTTTAAGCATTGTTCTTTAATAAAGGCTTTTATAAATAAACATTAGGAGACTGATGTTTAATTATACTTTTTTGTATGTAGTACATACCTCTTATTGAAAAATATTTCCTCATTTCTATGAAGACGTCATTGATAAAATTAAAATGCTTATTTCATTTTTAGTCTCATTCCTTCTACATAATATTAGCTTTTTCTCCCTATAACTTTTTAAAAAAATATGGAATATTTTCTTTTTACCTTTGGATTTTTACAAATTACATTTGATTTGTCAAGGCCTAAGTGACTTAGCAATAACCATTTAAAAATTAATGTTTTTAATAGCCACATTTTAAGCAAGCTTTGGTCTTCAGGTTTAAGGAAGTGGGATTTTTTTAATCATCAATGAAGTTGCTCATCATTCTGTAGAGTAGATTTGAGAATTAGTGTTTCCGTGAAGAACAAATGTCATTTATCTCTTGCTTCATGGAACATCAATAAAATAAAACAGAGAGCTGAGATGTCTAGTCAAAGGTGTGATAAAGAAACGTAATTAAAAGTAGGTATGGTTATAACGACCAGCCTGAATTCCTTTGCAGTTCTTCTCTCTTATGTGGGCACATTTTAATCTGTGTCTTCCTAAAAGCAAATGCAATATCCCACATGGACTCCAATCACTAGTGAGAAGAATGCTTACAGCAGCCTCCAATTTCATCACTTGCTTTCCAGTACAGGCTATGGCCTCCTTAGCAGTTAAGATGGTTCCTTCATAGTGTGGTTGCAAATGGATCTTAGAATTAATAAAAGTATTCACTAGTTTTTACAACTGCTGCTAATCTACCTTGTCCTAGGATAGCTAATTTATTTGATCCAAACCCAGAATAACAAACCCATATTGTTATTCCTGCTAAATGCCATTCAAACTGGCTTAGGAGTTGCTAGGATCTGTCCTAATGTAGACTCTTTAGCATTTGTATTATTCTAATTGAAATGAGTAAGTCGATCATAAATGGTGTTCAGGCCTCCCCCACGCTTTCTCAGATCACTAACTTTGGAGAAAGGTAGGTGTCATTCTAGCAACTTCCGGACAGGACCACGATGTGAGGCACCAAGGTCTCCTGCTGCGTCTGTGGGAATAAGCTACGTTGGAAGCCAACCCTCAGCCCGGCCAAACCTTCACATGACTGATCTATGTCAGTTTCCTATTCATACTGGAGAAAAACACTTGACTCAGAATTACCCTGCTAAGTCATCCCCAAATTCCTGACACATAGAAACTATGAGATAGTGATGATTTATTACTAAGTAAACATATTGTAAAGGAAATTTGTTGTGATGTAATAAATAATTAACATATTACGTGTTTCATGGCACTATTCTTATGCAATGTTTTATTTAAATAGTGGAAGCATTTTATTAATTAGAGAAATATATTTATACATACAAATATGTTTGATTTTGGGTGTAAGAAATTAAGAGGTTCATTATAGTTTTTGTCTAGCTGTTCTCCAGCCTCACACACTTACAGGTGTGGCTTTTGGGAGGGGACAGGACCATGAGTGTGTGACACCAGATTGGTCCACTGATGGTTTTGTAGCTTGGTGTGATATTCTGAGGGAAAGCCTAGTGGAAAGAGGTGAGTCACTATGGGTGTGGCCTAAGGGTACATCCCTCCTCTCCTGAGGGCCACTGCTTCCTACCTGTTTCACCATGAACTTGCTCCTTTCCCATGCTGCCCTGCCTTGGAACCAGCTGACAATAGACTGAAACCTCTACAAACTGTGAGCCAAGACAGACCTCCTCTCCTTTAACTTGTAGACACTGGGTATCTTGTCCCAGCAATGAGAAAATAACTGAGGTAAGATTAGAGTTTGCTAAAATTGTGCTATTTATATTACCTAGAATTGGCTACTTTGTAAAGAAGTACAAAGAGTTAAGATGTGCTATGTACATGTATCAGGTCCATGTAATGAATGTAATCATTATGTACATGAACATGTACAATTAAAAGTTTTTAAAATTAAAAAAGAAGACTTCTAAAAGGGACTTCATGGACAATAAGACAAATTTTGGTTTTATTGTGTCCCATTTTTGAATATATTTAAGAAAAAGTAATTTAAGAATTAAGAAATAAGTTAAAACATAAATGAAACTTACAGCTACATCTTGGAGCAGGTATCCAGCCACTACTTGTACACTGTACCGTAGTTCCCCTGGTTGCAGGATAGAAACCATGTTTACATTCGTATGTGACTTTGTCACCAGTTCTGTGTTTAATTCTCTGAGGTGAGTAGACACCATTTGGAATGTAAGGAGGATTACATGTTTTTTCTGAAGAAAAAAGATAAAGGGGATATGTGTTTAATGCAGGAATCAGACCCATCAAAATTAAATATAAGAGAATACAAATATGAATACTATTTGTAGCTAGCACAACACAAATGGCATTACAATGAGCGCATCTTCTCATCCTGCCTGACGTATCATTCATATTTCCCTTCACTATATATTTTGATTGGACATAGTTGTGGCTTCTGGACATCTAATCCCTCTTGCATCAAAGCTATCAAATACTTCATGCTGCTCCAAATGTGACAATGACTTTATCATATGTAACTTTATTCTTTCTACATCTTTCTACTTCATTTACTATTTTTGTTTCCTTAAGGAGTGCTTACAAAATATTCAGTTAGTAAGATTTCTCATCCTTTGAAGTAAAGGTGGTCACATGACTTGCATGAGACAATGTGAAGAAAATGGAAGCAGATTTTTTTAAATCTCAAGAATAAATTTAAAGACATTGTGTGAATTTTTATATTCTTGTTCCCAAAACTGCAGTAAGAAAGATGATATCTCTCTCACTTGATTCTTAGCAATATTGTAACAGAGAATGCCCCCTTCCCGCCAGTCTGTTAGTTGCCCAGGTAACAGTTTTTGATACACGTTCCTGCTACTTTGGTCACTATGTTGCATAGCTGATTATTATTATGCATATTGTAAGAACCAACCAAAGACATCCAAGAACTCTGCTTCTGCACTTTCATTTCAAATCCATAAAAACCTCCCTCCCTGTGATTTCAGGTCCTGATATTTTGGTGATAATCTGGCTTGGTGCCCACTAATATAAAACAAATCTGCCTACAAATCCTGGATGTCATTTTGACATTTCTGTTTGCCCTGGTACATAGAGAGCAGTCCTCATCTGACACGCACTTGGAGGGAGCAGCTGCAGGATGTAAACTGTAGTATCATACGGATCTATTGCAATATATTTTCTTACTGCAATATGATAAACTAATATAGGATTAGGAAAACCATTTTTGTAAAGTATTAGAGGGTATCTGTTGCAGCTACTTCAGTCTGCCCTGGACTGCCTTAGAACACAGTAGGCACTGCCTTAGAAAAGTAGGCACAAACAATGTCTGAGAAAACACATCTTTATTTACAAAAACATGCAGTCTATATTTGATCTGTAAAGTACAATTTGCTATTATTTATCATAATTTATAAAACTTACCCTTATTCCTCAACTCAGACATATCTCTACAATGGATTAATTTACACTTCTTTTCTAATAAATGTCACATATTTTAAGTATTGTAAAAAAGTTACCTAAATGTCAGTATGAGTTCCATATTGCATTTTGGCTTAAAAGCTTGGGGTGGCCATTCACTTTGCTTGAAATCCTATTATATCTTTCTCATGTCATTATTTTAGTTCCTGTTGTAAATGACTTATTGCCTCCTTTCTTCTCCAAACCACCTTAAACAATTGCATTTTCATCATTAGATAATAAGTAGGATTCACACAAATAAATTGAGACTACCAGTGTGTTTCCTATGTCTCTTTTCAATATTCCTTCAACATCAGCTGTAGCCATTCTGAATTGAAGCTCCTCCAGCATTCAAGGACAAGACCATTCAAACTTAGGGTATTCTCAAATTTTTTATTTCTCTGATCTTAAATTTTGGCCCTAATTTTACACTTTATTTTCTAGATCTTGTCTCCTTATCTCTTTATTATTTACTCTATGTTACCACCAATCTGCCTTCTGTCTGACACTCACCCATGCCAAGCTGATTCCTATCATTTGCGCTTTCCATTCCATATGTTTCAAACAATTCTGCCCTAGCGCTTAACATTGACATTTTATCACTACTTCAGAAAATTCTTCCTTGAAGACCCTGAAAGGAATTGTATGAACAAATACCCATGCCTTATAATTGAATATATGTTAGTATTTGTCCTTGACTTAAGTTTTTTTCTGCCATACTCTTTGTGATGTGTAAGAAATATCCATGATGAAAAGTTATCCCTTTGTGTTAGTGACTTGTTCAATGAGGTCCAAACTACATACCCAACTGAAACTTCATATAGGACAGGCTCATGTGTTTAATTCAAACTCTTACCTAATTTATTACATGATAAACTAAATCTCATTCTTTGCTGCAGTTTTTTGTGTTTAGTATTTTATTTTGTGAATGAACTTCTTTGGGGAAGGCTAGAGAACCCACTCATATCCCTTTCTTTTCATCACTCTTGCATTTAGTCAGACAGATTTATAATGTTTTAATTATTGATTACATGTTTCCTGCTTTCCGTCCATACTTCCATGAGTATATTTAGTTCTGGAAGTAATGTAGTTATCTACTGAATTTTACCATTATTTCTGAAAAAATAAACTTTAGTATGTGTCTATTGCTAATAGGATATGACATTCATAATAGAAATAGTTATATAAGAAATTAAAAAAGAAATAATGGGAGCATCTGTAAACAAGTTCTTTTTCTTTTGAATTCTTTTCTCCTTCTCCTGCCCCTTCTGCTTTCTTATTTTTGGTGCTTTTTTCTGTGTCATACTTTGTATTGTGGTCTGGCCTTGAACACACTAGGTAGCCCAGGCCAGTCTCAAACTCAAAGCAATCCTGCCTCAGACTCCTGAGTTCTGAAATTACAGACATGTGCCACTGCACCCAGCTTAAGCACAGATGCTAAATAAAATGTCTTAAGTGTTTATGTTATTTAACAATAGCTGGATTTTTTCCTTAAATGTATTTTTTTCTTCACTCTTGCCTCACTAAGTTATATCTGTCACATTTCATATAACTGTCATGGTTAAATTTAGCAAATTTAGATTTTTGCTTCATACTATAGGTCAATACCAATTTTTAAAAGTCAAAAGTAGCAAGAGGGAACCACAGGGGATCTGCTGGCAAGCTATCGCATCATCTCAGAACACAGGTGGCCCCCAGACAGGTATGGGGACCTATTGACTCTGGGCAACACTCAACACCTATGGCAAAGCTTTGCTGATCCTTGGCCCCACCACCCCCAGATGAGGAGTCTTGGTGAGTCCTACTTTACCCCATACTGTTGGGGGAACCTTGCTCACCCATGTCCCACACCTCTCCCACTACTTCTGAGTCTGGGTGATAACTGGGAGCTTCAAAAATGCTAAAACAAAGAAGAAAAAGGCAACCTCAGACCTCCTTCCCATCCAGAATAAGTCCATGAGACAAGAACATAGTAGAACATGGATGTCATATACATGATTTTTCTGAAATGATAACATGAAATAAAAAAAAAAAAACAACAAACTCCAGGCTTTGGATGAAATTAGATCAGAAGTAATCTCTCCTTTCCAAAAATAAATGATAACAATTATGAAAGAATTTTTCAACACATCTAAAGACATAGTTTAAAAAAATAAGGAATAGAAAAATGATGCAAACATTGAATGAACAATATAGCAAAGAATTAGAATGCGTGAAACAGATCCAAACAGACATCCAGGAAGTTAACAATTCCATCGAAAGTTGGAAAAATTGCTGGAGTGAAACTGAAGATAGACCTTCAGATCTTGAAAACAGCAAATCACCTAGTGAAGGCAAAAGGACAGATTTCATAAAAATAACAAGAAACTAGAAAATAACAATTCCACAGCTACAAGGTGATGCAAAGAAAAACAGTAAAAGACTGATAGGTAACAACCTCATTAAAAAAAAAAAAAAAAACTATTTGCAGAAATAGAAGAAAATTTCCTAAGCATGGGAAAAGAATCTGTTATACAGATAAATAAAACATATAGAACTTCAGTTAGTCATAATCAAAATAAATTCACACCCAAATAGTAATCAAGATCCTAGAAACTCAGCAAAAGAACAGCGTGTTAAAAGCTGTTAGAGAGAAGAAACTGATTGTTTACAATGGAATGCCCATCAGAATCATGGCATATTTCTCAACACACACCAGGAAATCAAGAAAAACTTGGGGTGAAGTATTTCAGGTCCTGAAAGAAAACAACTTGCAGGGCCAACCAAATAGCTCAGTGGATTAAAACACTTGGAAGCAGGTGCAGGGGTTGGGTGTTCAATCCCTGGGCCTGCTGTGCTGGCCTTTTCCCCTGAGATGCACTGAGATGGCTATTGAGACTGGCTGTGATGGCATACACCTGTAATCCCAGCTCTTGGGAGGCTGAAAAAAAATAAAAAGAAAGAAAATAACTTCTAATCCAGATTGATATACACTACAAAACAGTTTATCAAAGTTAATGGCAAGTTAAGATACTTCCATGAAAAGGAACAACTGAAGAAATTCATGACCACCAAACCAAACCTACAAAGAAAGTAACTACCAAGCACAGTAAGCAATTAAACAGAGGAGGAAAGTATGGACTCTACAGCAGGAAAATAACATGACAAAGATAAACCAACATATATTATGAGTCATGACCATCAATACAAATGGCCTCAATACACCAACCAAAAGAAACACTGGAAAAGTGGATAAAGAAACAAAATCCAACAACATATGGAAAGAAAGAAACACATTAATGCAAAAAGAATTCATAGACTGAAAGTCAAAGGATGGAAAATCATACTCCATGCAACAGGAAACCAGAAAAAAGCAAAGGTAGATGTTCTATTGCTGATAATATCAACTTCAAGCCAAGAATGATTGAAAGATATAAAGAAGGTCACTACATAATTATTAGGGGAAGACTACAAGAAGAAGACAACAATCATAAATATATATGCACCCAGTGTAGGAGTACCACCTACATAAGACAAATTTTAGCAGACATAAAAATCCAAATTATTATTATGAGCAATAATACAAAAAATTGTAATGGGTGACTTTAAAACCACACTACTGTAAAGATAGATCAGCTAGACAAAATCAGCAAAGAAATAATAGAACTAAACCAAATTTGTGAAGAAATGTACTTGGTAGACCTTTACAGAATGGTCTACCCAGCAGCATCAGAAAACGCATTCTTCTCAGCTGCACCTGGGAGGTTCTCCAAATAGCACATAGAGCATGCTTAAGTAA